CTGGGCTCTGACTCCGGTCAAGAGTTTGATAATATTGGGTGCGAAACACTGAGCGTGGCTGGGGCGGAAAATGGCGTGCTCGCCACAGGAAACTCCATGGCCGTCTCCTCCCAGGTCGCAGTCGACATCGACGATGCCATCAAAGACTTTATGCCGACCTTCAACAGGGTACTTCAATGTCAATCTACTTCATCTGATGTGCCCTGCCTTGAGCTAGCCGACACCATGCCCGTGGGACAGGAGTCACCAACGGTTGATACCCTGGGTACAGGATTGGTGCTCACAACCATCGGGCAAACATACAACATCCAAGCTGGAGGACAGATCGGCATGATCTTCTACAGCGCTGTTCACTCTGGCGCTCTCGCCACGTTGCAGTTGGACAATGCTCTGACCAACGCGATCGGCAGCATCTCCGCACAGGTCTACTCTCGATTCCAAGATCTTCCAGACTCCAGCTTGATGGTGGCTGACGCCCCCATTGGAGACACCGGCCTGGTAGTCAAAACGGTGGTGGATATCGGCCTCTTCAACTGGAAAGACAAGCGAGGGAAAAACCTTGGCCACAGAATGTCCCAAGCCGAGTGGGACGTGCTTTTTTTCGACCTGTACAGTGATGCAATGTCCTTTTCACAGAATGTCCTTGCCGCTGTATATTCCGCCGAGGCTGTTGGCCATGGCCAGACGCCAGATATCTTTGTCAGCCTCGTGATCGGACTTGAACTCTGATCTAAGCGTGTAGTGTGCGCGACTTCTGACAAGTTCTGGGGAGACAACAGGTGATGGAAAGTTTCATTCTTGGGAAATCAGCGTTGCGGGCGTCTCAGCGATGTAGAGTCGAGATGTTGGAGGATTGAAACAGCTAGCACTTTGCCTTTCTTCTGGCATTGACATCAGATCAGGTGGAGATGTTTGGTAGAGATTATCATTCCAGTCTTGATTGCTTCCGGCGCATCTGCTCTCTCACAGGTCCCGAGCTTGAGTGAAGCTTCCAAAGACATACGTCTTCCATGTGGTTGACTCGCAGCGGAAAGTGCGCCAATCATAGATGACAGCCCTCCCTCAACTAGACCCGTGGCGAGAAATTCTCTCCCATGCCCCGTCAGGCCAGGCCTGTGCACAGTTATTCATGACCGTCTTGCACTTGGTCATATCCATCCCTGTGGACTCACGCACTGCACCGAAGAGATACCATGGGACAGCATACAGAGAGGTGAACCGCGTCTCACGATGTAGTATTGTTTGTGTATTGAATACTTAAGTGGGTGCTAACGTTCCCTCCTTGTCGCCGCTTGTAAGACGCTTCTTTGCTTGTTGAAATCCATAATCATAATCTTGATATAACTTGAATGCTTGAGATGCAAACGCTGGCAGGTGCCTTATATATTGCCAATGACGACCATATACCTCAATTTTCCGTCTTTACTAGACTTCGTCGTGTCACATCCGCCAATCCCGTCGTCGAGTTGCATCTGGCTGCTCTTCCAGCCCCAACTCTTACTGACATCGAACTTGTCTGGCGCGCTCTCATAAATGCTCAAAAGCCGCCCACCCTTGCTCGGTGAATAAATCTTAAAGTATGTTCGTATTGTCGGACGTCCATCCATGTAAGGTGGCATAGCAGAAACATTGTATTTCCTGTTCGTCCGCAACAACTCTGCATCCTCCTCATCCGAATCTAACATCAGGCCATCGGCGGGAGAAGAGTCATTGGACAGCTTTCCCCCACTTTCAGGGTTTTGTGAAATCTTCTGGACCGGCTTTGCTGTTCGCCGTCGAAATGTCACCCTTTCGCCTTCCGCAATCGGTGGATTCGGAATATCATATTCTTGTGTCGACTCGGCTGATGCATCCTCCTGCTCTGCTGCTGACCCTCGAACTGGCTCATTGACGTGCCAACTGCGGTTTCTCTGTTCCGTCTTCCGAAGCAGCATCTCCCGCTCCAGCTGTCCGATGCGATCGTCCACCGTCGAAGATATCCACAGTGCAAGTGGATCTTCGCACGGATCTTTATCCTTGGCTCTGTGCAAGTATATGCCCAACTGCTGGACCTTCGAGTTATTGACGCGTTGGATATAGAGGTTCCACAGGCTTCCCGCATACCAAACAGTGTGTGAATAGACCCGTTTCTTTTCTTTCAGTGTCCGGGGACTCGGGAACTCGGCTGAAAATCGAAATGGAGGGTAGTAGCTGAAACGTGGCGTTGATGTTGGCGAATAGCCTCTGGACGGAGGTCTGCCGCTGTCGATTACATTGCCACTTGTGAAGTCGAGAGCCCATGCGACATCGGTGGGTTCGAGGCTAGCTGATAATCTGGCTGCATGCGTGCTCCATTCTGCAACGCTCGTAGAGTTAGCAGCTACACAGGCTTCGCGGGTGCCTCCCATCACGCAGGAGACGTCGTTAGTCGGAATCCAGAATTTTCGAGGTTTGCCGTTACCATCCCAGGAGCCAGACTCCATCTCTGCGGGAACTTCGGTTGTGCTGGCTGGCCCATCGTCTCGGGACTTTCCTTTCTGGTCCGATGCTTGTTCAGCATGATCTTCCGCTTCATCAAAGTCTTCGGCTACTTCGCTTAGTCCGAGCGTCTCGTCAGTCTCCCGGGCATTGAGGACCTTCTGTCGAAGTTCCATTGACATCCATAAGGCATCACTTATGACCTTCTCCGGCAGTACCGGAACTCCAAGGATGTCTTTCTGCGTCCGGATCTGCTGTAATTGTTCGAAGCGAAGATGAACATAATGGATTCCTTCGTCCAGGAGCACAAGCAGAGGTGCTATTTCTGGCGATGTGTACAGGGCGACCCAGGCCTCGTCCTTTTCGGAAACGTACCGGTTGTGTCCAGTTATTCTGTAAGGCGCATCAAATCTCACGGCAAAAAACCGTAGGCTTGTTGGTTTTGGATAAAGATATCGACCACTCGGAGACACCAGCCCTCCTTCGATGGCCTTAGCCTTCAGGCGGCGATTCAATAGCTTTAAGGCGAGGTACCACCTTTCCCACTCGCCTGGTACGAAGAACGGGTCCCCGCCAACGATCTCGCGGATGATTTCAGCCGGGATTTCGTCCCAGTACTCGTAAGGCATCTCCCAACCCTCTTTGCAAAGCATTGCCTTCGCGGAAGCCAGGATACGATCACCAGCTTTCCCGTAGTAATTGTTGGTCACTAGTTTGATCAAATTGTGAAGGGTAGCTGGCTGCATCTGTCGAAGGATCGAGTCGACACAGGACTCGACCAGGTCAGCCATATCAAGCCAGCATGCGGTAGCGAAGAGCCCAATTGCTTCTTTCTCTTCCTGCACAGGAAATTGTGTACCATAGATTCTCTTGAGTGCAAGCTCAAAAGCGTTTCTACTGATATTTGGGTCGAGATCTTCGCAAGGAATTGTCATCTCTCGCGCCGTACTCTCTGCCCAAGAACCAGAGAATGCCGACGAAAAGTAAGGCACACGATCGAGAAGCAGTTTGTGAAGTCTATAACTCTGACCGAAAGCATGCACAGTGATGTCTGAATGACGACCTTCCTCGAAGCCATGACGGAAGAGATGCCCTGTGAGTGTCGCCGTGTCACCGAGACCTCTGCTGGTACTGGATATGGTTCGGAGGTGGGAGTGGACTCTGGACGTGGGACCAGGACTCGATCCATCGCTTGTTATGAATAAGCGTGCAAGGGTCGTGGAGGTGTTCACAGGGTCAGGGTCGAAACTGCTGGTGACTGCACTTGTTGTGGGGTCATCTACATCTTTCTCAGGATTAAGCAGAGGATGTCGATTGCTGGAGCCAGCGGGCGAGGCGGAAGGCGTGGTGTCTCCTGCCTTTATATTACTACGCCGACTTCCACCAGCGCTTGTCAGAGCAGCTAGTGAGCCTGAATTGCTCGAGGACACTGCAGCGCTCAAGGACGCTAGCGCCGTGTTCGCAGAGACTGATGCAGTAGGCGGTCCCGATACAAAGATCGATCGAAGAGGAGGCTCGAAGGAGACTTGTGGGGGTGGATCTCCATAGCCTAAGCTAGGTATCTGGCTTGAAGAAGCTATCCTTCGCTGAGGGAGTGGTCTAGAGCTGGAAATCGTATTGGTAGGCTGTTGGAGCGGTGATCTGACTGGTCCGGGGGAGGAAGGCTCGAGATAGCGTGATGGGTGAGAAGGGGACGCTGCAGTGCCCTGTTCACTCCAGGCGGCCCTGTCAACATCTGGTATAGTAGCAGATACATCATACCCTGTGATCAGCCCATCCAGATCGTCTCGTGGTGGACTCCAACCGCTGAACTGTTCTTGATCCATCAGATTGAACTATTGCCAAAGCCTTCGTCAGAGAGGTATGACGTTTAGCACATATTCGTCGAACGAAGTTATAGGAAATCAGCACTGTGCAGCAAGAATCATCTTGCACATGGACTCAGAGAGGAAGGGCAAAGATGGCCAGAGCTGACGTTGTATTGCCCTGACTGAAAGAAGTTGTGATTGAAAACACCAAGAACTGCGATCCTGAAGCCCACTGAATGCTCCACCAGCCTCTGAAGGTGTAATGTAGAGGAATGAGCACTGTCACTCTTCTTCGGGAATAGTGATGATCGCAGCAGATTGCAAAAGTTGGCAAGTCGTTTACAGATGTTGCAAGAAACAGCGGGTTTTAAGATGATCATCAACAGCGTCACCTGGACGGTTGTGCCGCTGTGCAGGAGCCACGCAGCCACGCCGCCACGATCCGCCAGCCGCAAGCCGCCAGCCACAAACCACAAGCCACGTGTGGTCGTCGTCTCGGAAATACCACGGACTTAAAAAGTGACTGTATTATTTGGCGACATCTTCCTTTCCGTAGAAGGACTGACTTGGGTGTTACTCGACTCACACCAACTACCATCGAGACGTCGTGATGGCAACTTAAGACATTGAACTCGTCGTGCTTGCGACCAGCCTAGACTATTAGTCACCTTTCTTTTCAAGGGCACCGCAGCATGGCCGGCTTTGTATCCGTCACGTCTCCTTCCCCTGTTCATCATGGAAGGGCCAACGATTACAGCCGTGGTGAATAGTGACCACTATCATTTCGCCGGGCGAGAACCGCTTACACCTCCTAATGTTCATGACACCCTACCGCCAGTTCATTCCCCAACAGATCGAACGAATGCCCAGAATGGGATGCCGCCGACGCAGGACAACCGTTTATCCGAGGTGGACAATACACTACTGCAAGCGGATGAGGGTCGGAGTAACGGGCATGTGACGCGGAATGGAGTTGAGAATACCACAAACGGGATCTTGGACAGAGATCACGACCATGTCGTGGGAGTGGCTACATCTATAAAAGCGATACCAAATGGTTCGACGACAGACCGGGATTGTTCGCTTGCTTCCCCTACAAAAGCAGACCAATCGGTGCTGGGGCATGCTGCGGAAGGCCCAAATGGAATCGAGGTTGAACAAAATGGACCAACAGATGACATGCACAACCTACCGAGCACGGTGGACTCTCTTCCTACTTGTCCTGACGACTCACAAATAACAGCACCTGTCTCAAACGATGAGCTGAACCTTTACACAGCCTTCCCCGCAGCCGACAAAGCTCCAGAGTCTCCTCATGATGATGTCTTTATTTCCACTCCCAGAGCAGCAACCAGCACATCTAGGCAATCTGAAACGTCCGAGATGAGACGAAGTCGTAACCTCACCATCGAGACTAGCAACCAACTACTGCAATCTACAGGCAGTCCTTTACTCAGACCTAATCCCCTACAAAGGACTCTATCTACTCCTAGTGCCCTCAAGAGCCCCCTGTCTCCTCAACGGCACGATAGAATTGGCTCACGACCAACTCTTAAGATTCCCGAGACCGGGGCAAAAATTGATGGAACCACCGGGAGAAGGCATTCGTCTTCCGGGCGACCTCTTGCGTCCCCAATGCCGGCATCAATTCCATTACCACCTTTGTCAATTCCAACCTATCTCCAGCTCGAATTATCCTCACAGCGACCCTCCCAACTGTATATCCACAGGTCTGCCAACAGCGACTTTCCGTACGAGTCTTCACGAGTCAAGGTCGAGAGACTTATGAACTTCCTGCTGCTTCCTATGTACCTCGAGAGTGTCCTATGGTTCGGCACTCTTGCGTGTCTCGATTCATGGCTCTATACGTTCACGATCCTTCCACTCAGACTCCTCAAATCGTTCTACATTCTAGTCAAATCTTGGTGCATTAACTTCATGAGTGAAGTGCACTTTGTCGCCAGTTTTGTGTACAACGGGACTGGAAGAATGTGGAGAAGACGAAGGAGCAGTCTTGTTCCGACCTCTTCACGTAAAGCCTCAGGTTCTGACGCGGGCGAAGGCAAAGCTGCTCATTCTATTGCAGCACACAATCGCAGGCAAGGGAAGCAGCATCAGAGGACAAAGTCGGTGCCATCGGCGTTGCTCCCTGACGACAAAGCGGACATGCTCAAGGGCCTGCTGATAATTTGCACATGCCTTATTCTTCTGAGGCTTGATGCCAGCCGGATGTACCATTGGATTCGTGGTCAGGCGGCCATCAAGCTATATGTCATCTACAATCTCCTGGAAGTCTGCGATCGGCTGTTCTCCGCAATAGGGCAAGATGTCCTCGAATGTTTGTTCTCCAAGGAGGCTCTCGAACGCAAGCCAGATGGCCACAGCAAAGTTCTACGGCCATTCTGGTTGTTCGTGCTGGCACTCATTTACACAGTCATTCACTCTACAGCTCTGTTCTATCAAGTCATCACGCTCAACGTGGCTGTCAACTCATACTCGAACGCTCTCATCACGTTATTGTTGTCAAATCAGTTTGTGGAGATCAAATCCACCGTCTTCAAAAAATTTGAGAAGGAGAACCTTTTTCAACTGACTTGTGCCGATGTCGTCGAACGCTTTCAACTTTGGCACATGCTGGTCATTATTGCTTCTCGCAACATCGTGGAGACGGGAGGATTAAGCGCAGGATTGAACGCTTTTGTCAGAGCATCGAGTGCGGTGGCAGCGGCGCCTCCCCTGACTACGAATAGCAGCCTTCCCTTCATCAGCGCTCTTCCGCCGAAATCGGTGAGCTCGACCCTTCCAAAATCGTTCACTCTGTTACCAGCTGCAGTCAATACGATAACATCGTACGCTCCAGCTGTCAGTCAGGTGCTCGGTCCTTTTTTGGCCGTCCTAGGGTCTGAGATGTTGGTAGACTGGCTCAAACATGCTTATATCAACAAGTTTAACAACACCCGTCCTGCCATATACGACCGATTTCTGGATGTTTTGGCCAAGGACTATTACACAAACGCTTTCGGCGACCAGAACCTGACCAAGCGGTTGGGCTTGCCGGTCATCCCTTTGAGCTGTCTCTTGATTCGAGCCACAGTGCAAACATACCAGATGTTCATGGCCGCATGGGTTCCGTCGAGCTCGCCAAGCTCGTCAACAAGCCTGGCCAGCATCCACGAGCATTACTCTGCGGCCCGCTCAAACATGCCCATGACCACGAGCACGGCGATTTCCAAAACCGTCGACGACATTATCAGAGCCATTCCCGCGGCCATCACCAGCTCCAGCGTCGTCACACACATGACCACCATACTGTTATTCCTCCTGTTCTTCCTGATCCTCCTGGCCTGCAAGCTCGTGTTGGGCATGCTCCTCCTCGCCTTTGCGCGGTCCCGCTACCGGTCGATGAAGCTGCGTGAGAAGAACCCGATCTATCACGTCGACGGCGGCCGGCGCGTCGGGGGTTGGGGTGTCGTCGAAGTCGACGACGATAAACGCCGGTGGATCTACGAGGACGATCCGGCCGGGCTCAAGGCGCTGCGCGAGAGGGAGGAAAAGGACAAGAAGAACAAGGAAAGGGGGACCGGGGTCGAGAGCTTCGACAAAGTCAGACGGTACGAGATGGTGGCCAAGAGGATATGGTAATACAATGCTAGCTCTGATAACGTCTCCTCCTAACCGGGTGACTTGCAGTCATATCACTAGTGAGTCACCAAGTGAGCGGAGGAAGAGGAGCGTCCTAATTAATTGATGGGTCCCAAAGCACAAGCGATGTTCGTGCATACATACATACAACTGTAGGTAGGTAGTCTAAGCCACTGTCTGTCTGTCTGTCTGTCCGTCCGTCCGTTTGTCTGGCCCTGAATCGGGAGTGCAGATTGATGGTATCGGGACACCACAAAAACTTTATCATTCTTCGTCAAGTAAGGAAGAAGGACGACCATTCTTCTACATACATACACACATACTTTGTATGCGCGCGCGCAGGTTTTCTATCTTTTTTTTTCTCTCTTTTCTTGGGCTCTTGTCTTGTCTTCTCGCACGTGCGTGCGTGTATGAGAGTAAGTAAGCAAGTGATTTGAGGTGTATCTCTTAGTTTGCGGGCATCAGCATCAGCATCAACGCGTACATATACCAGCCACCCCACGGACACAGTTCAAGATGAAAACCCCTGTGAGGAGGCGGGGAACGAAAAGGGGGGGGGGGTTGTCTCATGAGCTCGTCAAACGCGTCAAACGCGACTTCTTAGCAACAGCGCCAATACCAGCACCACCAGCAACAGAAACATCCCAACAGATTCAAGCTAAGGGGCCGGTCTGGTCGCGACGACCTCGTGGACCGCCGCAGTCTCCTTGCCGCCGGCCGGGGTCTTCTCCTCCTTCATAAAGGGGAAGGCCAGGACCTCGCGGATGGTGTAGTTGTCGGTGAGGAACATGACGAGCCTGTCGATGCCCATGCCCCAGCCGCCGGTGGGCGGGAGGCCGAACTCGAGCGAGGTGCAAAAGTTCTCGTCGATCATCTGGGCCTCGTCGTCGCCCTGGGCCTTTTGGCGGGCCTGCTCCTCGAAGCGCAGCCGCTGCTCGAACGGGTCATTCAACTCGGTGTACGCGTTGACAATCTCCTTCTTGCACACAAACGCCTCGAAGCGCTCGCAGATGCCCGGCGACGAGCGGTGGTACTTGGCCAGCGGCGACATGATCTGCGGGTGGCCCATGATGAAGGTCGGGTCGATGCACTTCTCCTCGATAAACTCGCCGACCAGCTTGTCGAGCATGCGCGCATTGGTCTCGGGGGGCGGGCACGTCACGTTGCACTTCTTGAGGACGCGCTTGAGGAATTCGTTGGTCTCGGCCGTGTGGAGTTGGTCGCCCGGCGGGAACTTTTCGCCCGTGGCCTCCTCGAGGGCCGGGATCATGTCGATGCGCTTCCACGGCCGGGACCAGTTGACTTCGTAGACCTCTCCATTCTGTGTGTGGAAGGTCGTTTGGTGGCCTCCAGTGACTTCCTTGACGAGCCCCGAGACGAGTTCCTCGGTGCGGTCCATCACATCGTAGACGTCGGCGTACGCCTCGTAGAATTCGCACGTGGTGAACTCCGGGTTGTGCGTCAGGTCGGCGCCTTCGTTGCGGAATTGCTTCCCCAGCTCATATACTCGGTCGATACCTCCCACGACCAGCATCTTGAGGTACAGCTCCGGTGCGATACGCATAAACATGTCCGTCTGGTACTCGTTGATGTGTGTCTTGAACGGCTTGGCCGTGGCACCCCCAGCAATGGAGTTCATCATGGGCGTTTCCACTTCGACGAACCCATTGGAGTCGAAGTAGCGACGCACGTACGAGACGATCTTGGCACGGGTGAGGAGGATGTTGCGCGACTTCTCGTTCATGATGAGGTCGAGGTACCGCTGGCGGAAGCGGGTTTCGACATCCTGGAGACCGAAATGTTCCGAGGGGATCTGGTGCAGGCAGGGTGTGAGGAGGATGACTTGACGAGCAAACACGGAGAGTTCGCCCTCGTTGGGACGGTTCTTGGGCGACGTCCGTCCGGGGTACCCGATGACGCCGATGATGTCCCCTCTCCGCAGGTGCTCGTGCTGGGCCTCGAAGGAGACGTCGCCGGCGGCTTCTTGGGCCTGACACATTATCTGGACCTTGGTGCCGCCGCTCCTGATGTCGTAGAAGACCAGCTTGGCGCCTGCGGAGCGCTTGACGTAGACTCTCCCGGCGACACGTATTTCCACCTCTTTCTTCTGCTCGCCGGGCTTGAGGGAGGCATATTCCTCCACAAACTTGCCCAGGTCCGTGTTGACCAGGAACTTGTGAGGGTACGGGTTGGGGTCCTTGGTCTCCCGCAGCCGGTTGATGCGACCACTTCTGATTTCAAAGTACTGGTTCGGGTTGAGATTGCTCTCGTCGAGTTCTGCCTTCATGGCCTTCTTTTCGACTTGGAGCGGGGCAGCGGCGGCCTTTTCCTTCTTCTTCTCTTCCAGTTGTCTTTGCTTCTGTCTCTTCTTCAACTCGGACTTGGAGACTCTCTCACCGGTGACCTCGTCGAGGTGCAGGTTGGCGGTGTCTTGGGTAACAGACTCGGTTGCGTCTGCCATGATGAAGAGTTCAACGAGGTTTTGGGGGAGCAGTGATTGGGGATTTATACCTGTCGAGACGAGCGCAATTGAAATCCTGGATCAAAAGTGTCACAAATAAAACATGCTGAAAAATGACTCACTTAGTGTGGGGTCGTGTGCCTTAATGACTCGTACCGTTGATGATGACGAGGGGCAACGAGAGAGCCAAAGAGGGACAATAATAATAATAATAATACGCGAATCCCTCCTACGAGAACCGAGTGGTCTTCGACTCTTAGCTTCGTCTCACAAGCACTTGGCCCACAAACAGTCAAGGTTGTGCGTTTGTAGCACCAGTATGTACAGGACTTCTAGTATACTTGTTTGTTCCAGGAGCTCCTAGTAGGTGGGAAGAAAGAGAGTCGCACTTTAAGCCATCATCAATGCATTGAGCTCCGCAGCTCCTCTCCCCGGAAGACGCAGGCAGCTTCAGCGCTGGAAAGACACGCACGACTTGTCTCGCACTTTATATAGCACAGTCCTGATCACCAGTCTAGTCCTGAACATCTCCGATGATCCTACCCTCCCCAATACCAACGAGTCTACCTCAAAGCAACTTCAATGCTGTAGACACGCACAAACTCCAGAGTCCACCTTGCATCAACCAAAAGAGACTTCCGGACAACCTGCCCTTGCCATCCTTCTTCGTGCCCTTGACATAGCCGATCGCGTAGACGATCCGAAACGCCAGCCAGGCTGCCCCCAATGCGGCCGTGGCCGTGGGATACTCCAAGCCTGCGAACAACATGTAGGCGATTGTCTGGGGCATGTTCTCGAGCAGATTGGCGTGCGCTCTCTGGGCGCAGTTGAATTTGTACGCGGCCTGGCTCTCTTTGACCTTCTCTGCCGACGCGTAGGCGTTTGGGTAAGGCACGCCAGCCGGCTTGCGCAGGAAGGTCACCGCCATGCCTTGGGCGTAACAGAGGACTGGGATCGCCCCTAGAGCGATGAGGACGACATAGCTTTTGCGAGGACAGGTCCTGTCAGCTTGCCCCTCCAGAACCCGCAATAAAAAAGCTGAGGGAAGCTCTTTGAACTCACCCGTATCGGTCGGGAACGGTGAGAGTGGCCACCATTTTTGCTTTGCCCTGTTGTTCTTTCAACGCGTCGCAGTCAAAACTGTGCCAGGAAAGTCGATTCAATCAACGGGGTTTCAACCGTGTGAAGAATAGCTCACAGGTCTTAAAAAAAAGATGTCAGTTTGTTCCTATTAATGTTAAGGCAACAGTCAAAAACCGACGGGAGCTTCCCTTGTCGGGTATTTGTATCCTTCCGAGGTGAAAGCCGGACCAACATTCATCCGCCAAGGCTCAGAACTTGCCACCTTGTTCGTTTGGTTTCTGGCAACGAGACCGTCTCAGGTACGTGAAATGGGACGGATAGACAGCCATTAATATCTGTCTCGTTCTGATGGGGGTTTTGACAATCGCGTTCCATAGGCAAAGAAGCCTTACCTACCTATCGTACACCCTAGTAGGTGCTGACGAAGTGGTTCAGACCCACACTGCTCGCCAACGACTCTGCCGTGGCTCGAGATCTGTGTTTCCATACTTGCAGACGCTGTAGGAGACGAGAGGAGAACAAGCAGAGAGGAGGACAGACGTCGAGAATGTTTATATAACCTTTGGGTACGCCTGATTGGGTTTGACCGGCCGTGATGGCTTCTATTACCTCAGCTTCAGGCGGATTGCGTGACGGGAGAATGAGGACCAATCATGCGGGAGGAGATCAAATGCCTGAACCACTCGTACATTACTCCACGTTTGAAACCCATCATGCTATCATAACGCCCTTTGGCCTGTTGGAGCATTCCTAATAACACAATCTGGTTCTTTTCTCTATGGCCTGCTCCTCCCGCAAAAAAACATCTGCTTCTGCACCGTCCTCTATTCGTCCTGAATGTCCTGCCTGATCAAACCCGAAACGAGACTACATGATGACCTCGTTGGCGACATCACGCTTCAACTCCTTGTATGGCAGGCAGATGCAGTTTTGAACCCGGACTTCATCTCCCACACCGCATTCCTTGCCAAGAATAGTGATGCTCTGGACTTTAACCCCGTTCTTGATGATGGTGGTGCTGTGGTTGGTGACTGGCGTGGCCGTGCCCTCCACTCTAGCCCAAGCTCCGACACGACTGTTCCATCCGATGATTGCATAGAGAACACAGGCATCGTGCTTGATTTCGGCCTCGTCGAGGACAATGGCCTCTTTGACACGTGCGCCTGCGCCAATGATGGCCTTGGGACCGATGGAGACGTTTGGCCCCAACTTTGCCGTGGGATCCACCTGGGCGGTGGGGTGGATGAAGACTGGAGGTACGATGGTGGCGGATGGGGTGGCAATCTCTTCTGACTGAGACTGGAAAGCTTTCTGCAGGTATAGGGCGTTGGCCGGGACTGCAGAACCAGCCGTCTTGATCTGACGCCAGAAATCCTTGGTTTCATGGACGAAAAAGCGGTTGCTGTCGGCTAGATCAGGTAGAATGTCCTGCTCAAGACGCATGACCTCGTTTTTCTCTCCATCTTCATCGGGGTCGGCCATGAAGGACGAGTCGAGGTTCTCTGAGGAAGGATATGAGATCATCCGGGGGCGTTCGGTCTTACGCTTGATGGCACTCTTGATGGAAGGGAAGATGGCATCGGTGGCGAAGAGGTATACACCACAGTTGATCAGGTTGGAAATGTGGCTCTCTGGCTTTTCAACGTAGTGAAGGACTCGCTTTGTGTGAGCATCGGAGACAATGCAGCCAAAATTGGTGGCGGCGTCGTTGCTGATCCGAGTGCCAAGAATGACCGCCTCAGCGTCCTTCTCTTCGAAGAGTTTCAACATGGCCTCGAGGGGAAAGGAGCAGCAGACATCCGAATTCAGCACAAAGAATCTGTCGGGCTTGCCCTTCAAGATAGCATCACGGAAGTGGTACAGACCACCAGCAGTGCCGAGGGCCTGGTACTCGCGCAGATACTGTATCTTGAACTGAGGGAATTCTCTCGACGAGTCTTTGATGAAGTCACGAAAGACATTTTCTTCGTAGTAGCCAATGAGAATGACCTCTTTGATATCTGGGACTTTGGAGACAGCCTTCAGACAGTGCCAGATGATTGGGTGGCCCGCAACATCGAAGAGAGGCTACAGGTGATTTTCGTCAGTCCACCGTCGAGTCTCAGACTGAACCAGGACGTACCTTTGGGACATCAAGACTCAGTGGTCGGAAACGTGTTCCTCGCGAAGGACCTCCAACCTGTTTGACGTTCAGTCGAGTTTCTTTGTCAGCTGGAATTCGCTGATCTTACCAAAATCACGGCTTTGGTAACAGCCTGGGCCCCAGTAGGCTTCTGACGAGAGGGGACTCTCAGCATCTTTGGCCGGTGACAGAGAACAGTGTGAGATCGAAACCGCAGCAATGAACAGTCCTCTGAACAAGAAGACAAGTGACAAGAAGATATGTCAATGTTCAACGTTTCAATGTCGTTGGTCGTTGGAGTCGAGGGGCAGAATGAACGGCAGCTGAGGCCACGGGGTCAGTTTTTTGGCTTTTCACCGCCATGGAGTTGCAGACCTCTGATTGGTCAAGACCCTTAGCCTCACTAGCCGCTTTTGGCTGCGTCCTTCACTCACTCATTCCACTTTCAACCCCCTGAACACACGCACACACGCTTCTCGATGGTACAATAAAGGCGGTGAAGGTGCTGGAGGCGCACGAGGCGCTGAAGATTGTTCTGGCCCCGTGTCTCTTTTACCTCGGAATGCTTCATGTACGCCAGCCCTCTGGGCACGTGGATCAATTAAAATTCAACCAAATTTTTTTTACTTGGTACAGGCCATAGCCTCGACACAGCATCTCCCCCTCCATTGACTTCATCCGAGTACCTCGTACTCGACAACTACCTGCAATAGCATCGTACAGATCGTTCCCACCCATCCCGACAAGAGTGTCCGTGTCGCCTTCACACACGCTCTTTCTTAATGTCCTCCTCTGTCAACTCTCGATGGACACCAGTTTGAGCCACACCACCAGTCAAGGCTGCTGTTCCAACCTCCTTCAAAAACCCGAGGCTCGAGGTTTCCTTCTTCCAATACACAATGTACTTGCTCTTGATCTCGATCAGACTCATGCGCGGATCTTTCCATGTCCCGTCGTGCACACCGTCCTTCAAGTCCCCGAACCAAGCACTGACTGTTGAGCTGTAGAGCTCCTTGATCCTCGGATCGTCGTTGCTGGCTGTCGTCGCGGTGCCACTGATGGAGATCCAGTCCTGGGTCTTGCTGTCTTGAATAGTAATCTGCACCTCCTTGTTCTTGTCCAGGTCTTGGAATTTCTGCGAGTCTTTGTTTGCGAGGTACAGGATATCCGGCCCGGAGCGTTTGGCCACAGCCATCGACCGGCCAACGGGGCCAACTCCCTCGCGGTACGTGTTTAGCATGCTCGTCTGTTTACTGTCAATGAGCTCGTAGAGTTCTTTCCACTGGTCGGCTTTAGGAGTCTGATCGTCATATTGTTTTGCAACCGAGGGATCGATCCCAGATTGGACTTCTTTGGGGTCTAGTGCTTCGGGCATCTTGAGTCGTGCCGTTACGCAGATGTGTCGAACCTGAGGCTGAAGCACAGAAAGGCGCCTTAATGCAAAGGAGGGAGGCAGGTATTTCGAGATTTGGGATGTTGAGAGTAACCGGCATGCACTCAAAGCTGGAGGCATTGCAGATGCACAGAAGTTCAGTATCACCAGACATGTTTATTTCAATTGCTTATCCATGAAATCATCATGACTTACCTCAACCATGTCATCGATGTGCTTCTAGTGGTTCTGCAGCCGTTTTCCGGTCCACCTCTGACCAACGAAACGGGCCTCTCCACGTCGTTTCCCAACCGTCAACGCTGCTTCAACATGCATCATGGTAGTGGGCTTCTGATCGGTTTCTCAGTGGATGGCTGAATCAAGAGGGGGTGGAAAGTGGTGACGACAGCAAAGCATCAGGCTGAGATCATGAAGTTTGCCAAGTCTCGAGGGTCGGCTTTCGGGCTAGTCACGATCCGGCTGTTAGAAAACACTCTAGACTCGTACAAGACCAAGAAAGAATCGGTATCAGACATCCGTAGAGAATGAAATGAACAGGAGCATCCAGGTGAAATATGTCTCCGGATCCGATAGCTGGTACTATTTTGGAAGGACAGGGCAATTTTGTGACAACATGTAACCTATATATGACTTTGAAAACCATTGAAAATGTTTCATTTAACTCAATGCTTTTCTACAGAAGACCAAATGATAATCACGCGATTTGTATGTATCCAAGCATATACATACCCGGCACCCACTGAGTGCCAGGGGGGCCGTCCTCCCCCAGCATTTTTCGAGTGATAGCCTTACCGACCGCCAATCTGCTTCTTTGACACGGGAGGGATCCAACAGAGTACGACGTTGATGGTGATGGTGACGACGCCGATGATCCAAAACGACTTTCCGTAGTCGGTCTTTTCATAGCGAAAGACGATGGCGAAGATGATGCCACCGAGATTTCCCATGGCGCCGGTCATTCCAGACACGACGCCATTTGCGTGAGGACTGACGTGTGGCACTAGAGCAAAGTTGGCTCCGTTGCCCGCTTCCAAGAAGAAAGCCATGCCGGCGATGAGACCGAACATTGCTTTTGTATCGTGGGGATCAAGGATCCCAATTACAATGAGAAACACGCCGGTGATGATCCCCAGAGCATGAATCCAGATCTTCTTCACCCAAACGTTGGGACAGCGCTTGAAAAGGAGGTCCGCAAAAATACCTCCACTGGGGCGATAGACGACATTTAGCAAGCCAAACATAGCGGCCCATTGCCCAGATGTGGTCTGCCCAAGCTGCTTGAAGTTTTTCTGATAATACGTTCCAAGGATCGAGTTGATTGCCAGTTCGCCGCCAAAAGAGCAGAAGTAACAGAGGGCGAGGACAAGGGTCTGAGGAGCGAACATGGCTTTAAGGACTTCCTTGGGTGTAGGCTTCACAACAACCTCGCCACGAGCTGTGTCGATCATTTGCTGTTCGGTCATTTGAGCTTCGTGGTCGGCGCATATGGATATTTCCCGCTTGGCACTGGCATCGTAAAATGTCTTCTCCCCTGCTGGCGGATTGACGAAGCCTGATGAAACCGAGGCAGGATTATCTGCAATACTGGCACTGGGTGTCTCAACAATGGTTGCGTGAAGACCATGAGCCGCGAGGTGAATCTCAGCAGCACTGTGGCGCTCGCTCCATTTACCAGTTGGTGTATCCTCGCAGAGCACAAGCAGACCGAAAGCAACAGCCATGATGATAACGCCGGGAGCAACAAACGTCACCCGCCATGCTATGTGAGGAGTCAAGCCATTACCAACGAGAGAGTCGTAGATGGAGGGCATCAGAAAATAGGTCACACCACCACCCGCATTACCCAGGCCAGCTGTGAAGGCATTGGCAGTGCCTACTACATTCTTGTCAACTGCACAATTTGTTAGCTCGTATTCCGATCTGTCTTGAGGCATTCGATGGCTGTTTTGTAGAAGCAGCCAGAGCGGTCGACTAGGAATGGATTACTCACAAAAGCCAGTGCTCCATACTTGACACGGAACGAAGCTTCCACCGAGAATGCCAACGAAGAAACGAACAGCAAAAAGCTGGTTCTTGGTATATGCAGTTCCAGCCAAGAATGTAGGGATGGCGCCAATAGCTAGGCATCCGGTGAATGTCCAGCGAGGACCAAAATGGTCGCAGCATGGGCCTGCGATTATTCGGACGAGCAAAGTCGCAGACAGGGCGATGATGTTAGAATTCGCAACGTCGGTCTTGGTCAAATGGAGATCCTTTTGGATGGTATCGTGCAACTATTGCCTGTCAGCTAATGTCACTGGCATGTAGACGATGTTTGCGAGCTGCTTACCAGAGGAGGAAAGGCGTACCAGGCGAAGAAGGCAACGAAAAAAGAGAACCAAGAGAAGAAGAATACTCTTCCATACATGTTGATTGGATTGAGGAATGGAATAGCACGGGCCTTGTACGTGATGGGGTTGACCTCAGGACCCCGAAAAGGTAGGCCGAAGTCAATGCCCATCATACTTGCGATCGTGGCGAACGGCCCAGGATCTGTTTGATTCAAGATTGTCCTGACTTCGTTTTTTCAACGCCGAATCCTGGATGTGAACACATATTGTCCGAAGGAAACAGTCTGAGAAAACATAAAATCTTTATGAAAGAGGTGACTTGAACCCACGTCACTCATGCACTTTGAAACCTGATATGGCGTTTTGTTGTCTTTCTCCGGGGACAAGGTATAGATGCACTTTGAGACCACACATACTCTGAAATAGTATATCCGCGGCAGATCGCTCACAGAGATCGAGTCAATTGGGCAAATTAGGACCCTGGTTCACAAAAGTCACCTCTGAACCAGGCCAGATATTTGCTGATACCGGAGTTAAATTGACTCCAGTCAATTGATGACGAGCTCCGAGGCGTTGGCCAAGTCCAAAATATGTTCAAATAGATGGACGTACTCAGTACAAGGGTCATCCCACCTTGTCAACTCGCCTCGGAAGTGCTTCTGCTGTTTATCACGAGGAGTGTTCCTGTCTGCAATGGTTTACGCCTGGTCAAATGTGATTTTGGTAAAAACCACATCAACGCTTCCGAGGACTGTTCTTTAACTCAAATCCTTCCTGGTGAATGTGGGCAAGGGACATGCCTAACTCCAATGCACAAAGTAGATTGTCAATCCAACCCCACAGATTGATGGACGAGATAAATGGTATTTGTCGATCTTTTGCGGCATGCAATGCGCCCTGTTTTGCGCGGAGATGTTATGATGTCTTTCCTTGGGTACTATCCTTGTGGTGCGTCCACGTTCGATAACAAGGGGAGGCTCAGATGCGTCAATCTTGGTACGAGTCTCTTGAGCTGCTGTTCGAAGCGTAAGGCATGAGGTTTGTGGTTGGACGAGGCTTATCTGAAGCATGTGCGCATTGGACCAACTTGGTGGATCCTGCTTATCAGACCAGCCGCTTCCATTGTACAACTAGCGTCTTCAACGCTCTCTCGACCTTGCTACTCGCATGGCATTATGATAAGAGTCCGATAATGTGTGAGTGTCTAGAACATTGCACCGTCTCCGCGGGGATAGCTTGTCAGATAACCGACCTCTAAAGTCAAGATCGCCTGGCGCTGAAGCTTCTCAATACCACATTGAATGGGATGTAGACGAACGTGGCGGCTCCGTGGTTCACCTACGGAGACTCCCAATGTTTGCTAGCAGCTTATAAATCCCCAGGCGTTTTGACTGTATTGTCGCAAGGGATAGGTGTTATTATTGGAAGTTGTCGAATTCAAAGAGGGAGGAAAATGTGGTTGAGAAAACGCTTGCTTGTCTGGTAACGATAACCAATGAGATGCGAACATTGTGGGACGGAAAGAGAACTGAGCGGCTAGTCCACTTCGGGGGATTCATTCTTGGCATCAACTTATCCTCTTGCCTCTACATACCAGTTTGATGCTTCGATGGATGATCTGAGGGTATTATATGAGAGATCTATTCGAGCGATTTGATCATCAGTGGCCCTTTCCCGGATGCCAGCATCCTTGAGCAACATCTCGGCGTCAGGTTATATCCTAATTCAAGCCTGTCACGATATCTTATGTCAAATGCACACTAGGACTCCTTTTGCTCTAGGACTTCACAAATCCAGCGTTCTTGGTAGTCCTTCGGCGGCGGGAGAGGGGATACTACTCAGACAACACCAAGCAACATCATCTCCTCGCGCAGCAACAAGAGCCCAACACAACCTCTCATGACTGACGAATACTAAGCCGATAGTTTGAACGAGTGATTGGAACAGCGCGTATTCTGAGGGCCTCATGAAGAAGGGCGTCTACCAAGACAACTGGTGTTCTCTTCCGCAGAGGAGACAAATCAACATGGCATTTTCATTTTCCAAACCCTGCGAAGCAAACTAGTTCTCTCGCCTCTCTCTGATGCAAATACCATTCATATCCTCCAGAAATGGGAGTAGCATAGGACCACGGCGCCGGTGTGCCCTCCACCGAGCCCCTGTGAAGAGACGTCCAGTTTCACCGATCCCTTTTCTTTGCGTTACATAACCTATGTATGAATACAATGATGAGAAGCCCTCTGGGCTGAGCTGCCTTTGCCCTGAGTTGAGCCACCAGCGTCGACCCCATGTTGACGACGACAATCAGGAGAACTTCATAACAGTGACAGGAAAGGAAGTTTCAAGACGCTGTTGCGAACTTCTTTTTCCTCGCCTCGGCGGCAGCACGGTCCGCATCCGTAGAAAACACGCCTGATTGCTTAGGAATCCCAGAAGGCTTCTCTCCCGGTCTCCGTCGTGAGTTGTCCCTTCCACCTCTTCCTCGGAATCTTCCACCACGGCCTCCTCCTCCTCGGCCTCCTCGGCCCCCAAAGCTCTTTCGCAGACCAGGATCGTCCATGGTGCCGCTCTCTTCAGTCCTGCCTCGTTTCCTCGAACCACGCTCGCGCTCTTCAGGTAAGGCTTCGTCCAACTTTCCCACAGCCGTCTGACCAGTTCCAAAGCGTCGCGCGCGTTCCAGAGCTCTCTGAGCCTCACCATCTGCGGTGTCTGCTCCTGTTTCACCATTTGTAGGGGCTGCGCTGGTACCGAATCTCTCAGCACGAGCCTTGCGCTTGGCCATCTCGGAGTCAAGATCTGATTGCGGTAGGTTCAGGGCGTAGGAAGTAGAATTGGCTAGTGCTGTGTCGGTATTTGCGGACGGAGAGTCTTTCTCATCGACACTTTCAGTTACTGCTGCGGGTTCCGCGACTGCAGGTTCCTCAGATGTAGGTTCTGGCACTGCGGCCGTGGTGGGTTCTGGCGCTGGGGCAGGCTGCGTGGTGGACGTTTCTACTGGAGGCGCATTCTCGGTTTCTGCGCGCAAGTCAGTCAAAACATGCCAACGGCGCTGCGCCATTGAGCCCAAGGAAGCGCAGAATGGCAGCAGAAGAGAACTGCACCAGCTGGCACCTCCTCGAGTGGTGAACACATACCATTTTCTTGAGCTGCTTTGTCTGCTTCGTTCAGCCTGGCAATAAGATCTGCCTTCTTTCCTGAATGTGGCAGGCTCCGCGATTTAAGGATCTCTATCAGCTCAACCACCGTCTTCTTAGAGTAGTCGACCATGGTCACGGTGCGGTAAGGAATCTGAAGAGCAGGAGACGCGCCACTGGCGCTGAACAAGGCGCAAGATCAGGTCGCAATGCAGGTAACGGTTGAATGAGTGAGCTCGTAATAGAGCCTCAAGCGATCAATATGAGATGCATCAATCCGAAAATCTGAACTGTAACTGTGTTCACCAGGCGCAGCGCGTTCGCAGGGCGACCAGAGCGACGCACTTGGGCACTCGAGCCATTGACGAATGTGGGTACGGGGCATATCTGGCTGCTTTAATGTTTGTTCGTCCACGTCATTTTCCATTTCCTCCCAACTTCCCCCCTATTCTTCACCCTGGCCAGCCGGCTTTAAGTCTATGGACAATCTCATGTTGTTTCTGCTCGCAAGATCTGGGAATCATTTTGGAGTCTACAACATTAAACCGGTCTAGAGCAACAGCCACCTAAACGTATTGGACTGCATCTGCCCGTAGTTCACGAGCGGTCAAGGCCGCCGGTCTTGTCAAGATCCTACAGAGGCTCCCTGCCTGCAAAGTCCCAGGGTAAGGGACTTTGGGCATCCACTGATGTGTCCACGTGTGACAGGGAACTCTGGCCTTGAACAATTACCGCGACCATGGTTACCAAACTCGTCCAAGACCACCTGCAATATGCCGAAGATTGAATGACCCTTTCGAACCATGCTTGACATAGACGTCAGACTTTATATGCCAGAAGTCCTTGAGGGCACATCCTCTATCGTAGGATGGGCAATCAAAATCTCTGTATCCAACAGGGCCGATATCGACTGTCATGCAGAAACGCCGCACTGCTAGGCGATCAAACTCTTCTCTTTCTCACCACCTCTCATGTTTGTATATGGTCAACTAGGTAAAGCATGTTAAATCCACACAACCAACAATCAGGCGCAACAACTGCACAGTCTCATCCTCTCGCTCATTGGTTTCCTTGACCTGCCTAGGAACACTCAACTTACCGTTCATGTCTCTGTGAACTAGCATTGTCGTCGACATGCTCCAGTCCATCTGGACATGTCACTTCCAGTCCTCAGGTCAGCGAAGAGGGTAGAACAGCTGATACCATGACTAAAGCTGGATACCCTTCTCGCACCAATGGCACGCACAATTCTGGTGCTGATTTTGTTACGAGTAGGGCGTTTTGCTGCTAGCTGTGGTTTGCTCGGCCATTACTGAGGCCCTCCTTTTCGTTCTCACCTGAACCAATCCTCCTCCGTTTCTCCGTCATTCCAGCAAGGACCGAGAGATTCTATCAGCAGGCCACGGGACAAGTGCTGGAGATGTATGAATGGCGGGTCTGATGTCCCATGTTTCCCTGGACCCGCTAGCCAGCAACTCTCAGTTGGTTGGACCACGTCGACCGACTCGTCCCGCAAAGATTCACATGAGAATGAAGTCGTCAACAGTTTTGACACAACGTCTTTTGATAAGTGGTGGTTGCGACGGGAAAGAATGTTTCATCGATGATTGGCTGAGGGAATCCTACAGGACGGGGTGTTGTTCTGGCTCTAATCTGTCAATTGGAGTGGTGTGCAAGCACGTTGGCCTAGACCGAGAATAAACACTAATCTGTCTGTACCCGCGCCGAAAATCTTGTATTGGGTGTAGTAGTACGTTGTCTGACATCCCGATTTGAGAAAACCTCGTGGCTCTTTACGGATTTGGGTTGGACAAAACGTACCAATCGTGGTCCGTTTTGGGCAATGAAAGAGAACCGAGCACAAAGACTACGTTTCTCTCTGTGAGAATACGGCCTCCAACAGAAGCTACCAAGATTATTATTATCAGATCTTAGCCTTGTTTTCAGCCTCAGGTTCAGCTGGCACGGTCCCCGGCGGGCGGGCCCAAGGCTGAAGTCGACCCCAAAACGTTCCGCCATACCAAATCGGGCTGGTAGTGTTGCCAACGCATCAACGCACCACAATTTTCTCTTTTCCCCTCAAGGGCTGGCTAGGTATCCAAAGTCAGAAGAGATGCTCGAAGAAGGTTAACACGGAGAGTGACTGAGGGCCACTCGTTTAGGAATTGGTTTGTTTCATCTTAGCAAAGAATTGACATAATCCACTGCAGCATGGCCGAGTGAGGCATATCTTTGTCTGTCCCAAGCTGACCGAACCTAGACGGCGCACGCACTGATAACCTACGGATGTGTATCAGATGTATACCACTAGCAGTTCTCCGAACTTTGAAACAGCCAGCCACCCAACCTGGTATATCGATGTCTGAAAGGAGGTTCGCTTTATTTGAAGGCCATGATTGGCATGTCCTATTGGGTAGTGCCGTCGCGTGCTTCTACGGCCCGATACCTTTCAAGACTCCCCTTGGACCACACTTCCCCCTTGGTATAGCTGCCGCGATCAAATACGGGGGCTTTATCCGAGAGAAGGATCCATGGTTGCTTCTCAGAAGCCCAGATGTGAGCGTTTGGCGGGAGTAGGTCTGGGTTGTCCAAGGTCCCCACACGAACAATGCGGATGCCCTCCTTTACATTGGCTGTGTTATCGAGGTAAACACTCCATACAGCAATCTTGCATCTTGGGCAACGTGCGATATTCTGCCCAGCGCCACTTTCGCTCGGCACGGTGATCCATTCAGGTTCATTCTTCAGGAGTTTCAGTCGGTCGGTTTCAATCATGGCGTTGAGTGCAAAGGAAGCCCCAGTCTCTCTTTGACACCATCGACAGCTGTGCCGTTTCAGCCGGGGACAACTCGCAAGACGTGATATGTTCTGACACTCACTGGCAACAGTGAACAATCATCGGTTCTGTCCGTAGTGAGTAACGCACTTCCCCACAGTCACAACCTCCTTCGACGGGGAACACAACTCCTTGCGGCGCCATGGCGGGAGTTGGAGGGATTGATGGTTTACGGGGATATTGAGAGGAAAGCACTGAATTTGATAGGTCTTGATCGGTTCAGGGGCTTTGGATCACACACACTCTCCACTGGGAAGCTACGAAGCTCAAAAATTAGGAAAGGGAAGTCTTTGGCACGCAAAAACCTTACACAAGGTGGCCATGTCTCCAACCCAGCCAAACCCCAACTCCATCCCGCGTATCAGGTGATCGGATACACCTGCTCATAGTCGAGAGTGCAGGGATAATACCGTGTCCACTGGCCTTGATCGGAGATTTTGCACCAACGGAAAGCATGAAAACCTCCACAAGGAACGTGGTGGGCACGCGGGCGGGATTCGCCGGACACCCCTCTGGAGCATATCCTGCCAAACGTCCTGGGTCTCAAGATCAGCCACAAGCAGAGATATTTGCCCATCTCTAGATGATAATTGGTCGCGAGGTAAGAAAAATAGCGGATGCGCGAGGGAGAATCAGGTAAAAAGAAGTCTGGAAGATTCGAGTTCGGAGGATTTTGTAAGCCATCGCTTGACGAGTAGCAGGGCTGGTAGAGCGTGCGCCATCCACAACGTCCTAAGGCATGCAGAGCGCTAAAGGAGTTGCTTGCTGCATTGTTGACCTGCAGGAACACGTTAGAGAACTGTGACTCCATGCAGGAGTTGCAGTGATGAACATGCTCTCAAACCATTACCGAATCAGCCACATTGCCACACAAGCCGGATGCGTTTCATGTGGTGTTGGAAGATCAACAGCAGTGTGGTAAAGCCATGCACGTTGCCGTCATCTTCCGTGGTGGTGACATTGTCCTTGACCACATTCGCCATGATGAAGATTGAGTCTTGCACAAAGTCGTACGAGTCTGGGTCGATCGTAATGGGGCGCACACGGAAGGTCCAAGGCCTTAGTTGACAGTACGAGGCGTATGTCAGTCTTGTCAATACCTCACCCGACCTGCGTGTTTGAGGCTTTTTTCTTGAGAAGCGCAGATTGTCTTAATCAGAGGCTTGTTCTGGCATAGAAAGGCCGTTCAAGCAAGCCTTCGCAATATCAGAGGACAGGACGAAAACGACGGTGCGCTCTCCAGCACGGACGGGGCTCTGGCAGTGGCCCGAGCCTCGGTACAGTGGGGAGACGGGGCACCTATCCAGAGCGCAGAGAGAGACATGACTTTAGGGCTAATGGGCTATGCAGAAGGCTAGCTGGGCACCTACGGAAGTAGCTCATTCAGCCCGCAGTGTTGCCACCACCCGTAGGAAGGACCCCCCAAGTGGCCGCCCCAATGACTCGGCTTTGTCCGTAGGTACCTACTGGTACGAGTATGCGTCACCCCCACTTTCGTGGCCGCTCTTCGACTCTCAAACCCCGTCAACTGGTTCTCATCCTTTTCGCAACTTTTGCCCACCGGCCTCTTTGCTGGTTTCAGCAAAGGTACTTCCCCCCTGCTGGATCAGATTTTACTCCATTGTGACAATACGAGGTCGCCAGTCACTTGTGAGCTGCTTCCAAGCAGTCAATTCTCGACCGGCGCAGATCCAAGCGTCGCCACATGATGGACCTCCAGAATTCCCACTTCGCGACCTTGATGACAGCCTGGCATCGGCCTCGCCTGTGGGAACCTTGAATTCTGCCTATGATGCGGCTATCCTCGCACATGCCACCCACATTGGTCGTCATACCAATGCACATGACCTCGTCAAAGCACCACGCACGACATCTAGCGAGTCACGCTTGCGCATGCCTGCTCGTCCATTTGATCGGTACATACGAAGTACCGAGTACACAGTCTCAAGTCGTTTTCCGGGTTTGACTCCTGGGACGGTTTCCCCACGAGGCCTAGAGTGCATTTGATCGTATTTGCCCAGGCATGTCAGCCGCAACCCTGGTCCGGCTTCTCCAAGACTGCGCGGGAGGACCCATGATGGAGACCCGTCCCAGATATAAGACCTATCAGCAGCAAAAGATGGCCTTGGACTTGGACAGCCCCAAGGTCTCTTGACGCCTTACAACCAGAACACAGTTGACTCTAGGTGATGGACACGAGTTACCCGCGGTCCAGTTGGTGGGCCACCCCGCCCCGTTGGATAGCTTGGAAGGCCGTGCATGGTGGAAAATCCCTCTGATCATGAAGCAAGCCATCA